AAGTGGGGATGAGGCACATATAACTCGATCAGCAATTCAAGTTAAATCTTAGTCTGAACGAGGCCATAGAATTCCATATCATTGAACCATGGAGGTTAAAGTGGTGTCAAACTGCATTCATTCTGCAGTGTAGATGCAGTCCTTGTGCTGTTAAAGAAACCCATATATATTGATCTCTCCCCAGACTGTAGCAAAATACTCCATTTCAGAATCTGAACAAAGCATTCAACTTCTGTAGAGAGTATGCAGCTGCTAGAGAGGATGAATAAGCCATTGGGAGACAAACCTGTTAGGAAAATGAATGTCTGACAACCTGTTTCTCTCCCTAAATTTAGCAAACTGTTCCAAGCCCCCCTAAAATAACTCTAACTTCATTAGAAGGTGTTTGATAAGGCATGGAAGGTATGGGGAAAACAAAAGAGATTGTTCAAGCCATTTACAAAATAAATTGAAATAGAAGACACACAGCATTTGGAGAATTCTTCAGTTGCACAGCCTTAGTTCAAGAGCTGGGAGTCGTTCCAAACAAATGTTGCACGTTGAAGCCAAGAGGCCATTCATCTTAAAAACCCACCAGGTTGTTCACCTGCCCCTCATTAGTATTGCATGGCTGTTTGGCCAAAGACAACAATAATATACTATTTGAGCAAGAAGCAGTTCTATCAAATTACACGAAAACAGGCTACACAAAAACTAATCAGACTTCAATGTCACTATCCCAAAATGTCACTATTCCAAAAATGACTTTAAAGTTTCTTAGGAACTTTCTTCTATTTCTTTACAAGAATATTGCTTCCAAAGTCTTAGTGCTACCTAGATGGGGGTTTGTTGGGTCTAGTTAACGGTTAGATACGTAACTTTTAGATAGTTTTTTTTTTTATTTAAGATTACAGGAGGCTTGCCTTTTGTGCTCATTAGCAGCAGCATTATATATGCTATAGGCACCAGGCAGAGCAATCTTTTGCTCAATAGTTCTTTCCTTCCTGTGCCAGGCATATTAGCTTGACAAACAACCAAAAACACCAGGAGGCAAAATGTCAGTTGCAGCTGAAGGGTACATGGTGAGAAGGAACATACTGTTAGTACATGGGCTGAATTGTGAATGATTCTCAACAGGAGAGGACCAAAATAGTTTCTCGCTTCTAATATCTTGCAGTGCAGCACAATATGTTTCCAACACACACCATGTAAACCTTCTTAAACAGTATACTGCACAATGGAGACCCAATGTCATGCTGAATTCTCTATACCTTCACTCAACAATAGCCAGCTAGATATTAACAGCACAAAGAACAGATGTTATGCGAATCTGTGCGATGAAATATAGTAGAAGAGTCCTTCCATTGTCCAAGCATCAATTATTCAGAAATCTCTTTGTATTTTCAAATTAAATTTGGGACAATGCATCCTAGCATGGTTTCCTCCCCTTTATTTATTTATTTATTTGGATTCCTGTCCACACTGCACCCCCAAGTTTGATCAGTAAGATCACATTGCAAATGGTTTCTCAATTGCTGCTGTTTAAAAGCCTAATAGATGTAGAATTAAAGTACAGTAGGCCTTTGGTATATGCTGGGGTTTGATTGCAGGACCCCCCAGAATGCCAAAATCTATGGCTGTCCAAGTACCTTTATATACAATGGCATAGTAAAATGGTATCCCTCATATATATATATATATATATATATATATATATATATATATATATATATATATATAAATTAAGGTTTGCTTTTTGGATGTGGGTGGTTGAATCCGTGGATGCAGAATCCATGGATACAGAAGGCTGGCTGTATTTTTCTTCTGTGAAGGTGGGGTGTTCATTCTTCTGAAAACAAGTTAGCAATATAAGGGAAATGGGGGCTTGAGAGTATTTCTCTTAGAACATGTAATATCACTGTGGCTTGAATTAGGGTAGGCAATCAACATGGTATAGTGGTTTCAGTTCTGGTGTAGGACTCAGGAGACCAGGGTTCAAATCCATGCTCAGCCATAAAAACACACTAGGTGATTTTGGGGAAGTCACACACTCTCATCCTCAGAGGAAGACAAAAGCAAAGGCCCTGAGGAAAAATCCTACCAATAAAACCTCATTATAGGTTCACCTTAAGGTCATTATAAGTTGGAAACTAATTCAAAGCCACTTCATAACCATTTGATCACTGAGATCTACACTGGCCCCTTTCAACAAATGCTTTGAAAAGAAAACAGACACAAGAGACAAGGGGAGGGGGCTTGTTTGATAAGAGAATAACTCCAACTGGAGTAGGAAGGTAAAAATTGCAAAGGTTTTCATTCTATTGGGTGAGATTACAGGACGTTTTATATATTTTGATGATTTTTCACATTTTTGGCTACAAATTTCATGACTATTTTTTTAAAATCTATTATACTTTGCACATCATACCCCACTCCCACCTTGGTGCAAAGAAACTGAATTTTGGATAAAACTGGACTGTGTGCAAAATTCAACTGGGTTCTTACCTGATGCATTTTATTAATACAAAAGAACAAGAAAGATTTCATTTGGTCCCTGACATTTTGCTCTTATAAAGAGGTAGTAAATTGTTCAGAGGGTGGCAATGTCACAATATGGCCAAACTGCATATTTTTATATTCCTCCCTGGGAGGCACAATTTTCCATTCCCTCTTTTTAATTAAGGTGTTTAGGGAAGAGCCAGGAGACTGCAGAAATGGCATTGGGGATTTCATGCATTGCAAGTTGGCAATGGCAAACATATTTAAATCTAATGCAACTTCACAATGATGTGGGGAGGTTTAGCCCTTTCCCCAAACCTCATTTGTCCTCCAACCCTCTGGGGACAAAAACTTTCTGCAAAGAGTTTCTGGTTCTTTACAACACTTTTTAAAGGGGGTTTCCACAGGCATGGGGGGATTGCAGAAAGGAGGGGGATTGCCTCTCCCATAAACTGTTTCTAGAGTTGCTGCCACAGTGCAGAATTAATGTAGTCTGACACTAACTGTTATGGCTCCATCCTATGGAATACTGGGATTTGTAGTTTATTGTGGCATCAGAGCTCTCTGCTAGAGAAGACTAAATATCTCACAAAACTACAAAATCCAAACATAGCATTGAGCCATGGCAGTTAAAGTGTTTTCAAAACTGCATTAATTCTGCAGTGTAGATGCATGCCATGAGTGCAATGACCACGTTGCTTCCTGGAGTAGGACTCTGGGAGTAGAATGGAATGGAGTAGGACTCTGGGCAGTAGAATGGAAACTTGTCAAAAACTGCTTCTTTTTACTTTCGGGGTTTTCCGAAAGTAAAAAGAAGCAGTTTTTGACGAGTTTCTGTTCGGATTAATCTCATTTTAATTCCATTTTAACAGCGACATCGTCTGAAAATCTAACTGCTTTTGCAGTTTTTCCCCCAATGCAAAACCCTGTTTCTGCACGGGAATTCCCGTGTGATAAACTCCATGGTTACTGACTGAATGCAGATATCTCATGTCTCCTGTTTCTACTACTCCTAAAAGCATTCAGTGAAACTGCTAAAATATCTCATCAAATACACTCATCCTTTCACATTTGCAGCTTTGACTTTTGTGGATTTGATTATTCATGGATTTTATTAATATGTTCTCTAAAGTTGCATGGAAGGACCTAGAGATTCCTAGAGAGAACACTCCACTAGGCATTTGTAGTTCCTCTAGTGCAATTCTATGGTCAATGTCTGGCAGATGTTGAGCTGCACTGGATGACCTAGAAATTCCTAGAGAGATGCTCCCTCAGGTAAAAAATGGTGTTTTTGTTATTTGCTGTTTTTCCACATTCACGGGGGTCCTGTGCCCCTAACCCCAGCAAATGTGGAGGAACGAGTGTACAAATGAGCACACCGACTATGAAGCTCCCGATCACATGCAAACTTTATAGTTTTGTGGGCTCTTTCTCTGTAAGCGTTCAATAACCAAATTCAGTGAGTGCAGTCACATGGCACAATAAGCCATGGAAGCAAAGTCCCATGGTTCCTTCTATGTTTTGATGGAGCCCTTTTGGTAGTCTGTGTGGCCTCCAGAGAATCTTAGGGAGAAAAAATTGACATCCAGACACATTAAAACTGCCCACACATCTTTTGGTAGTTGGACTGGACCTGTAATCAGAACAAGTAGCTTCAAACTTAATTACACGAGCTCATCTCACATGTGACTAAAGAAAACACCTTCCTAATCCCAAATGGGATTATGATAAAGAATTAATGCTGTTACCTGTAACAAGTTACTTTTTTTAGTAACGAAGGCACAAAAGAGCTAAAATTCAAAAGAAAAATAAGTGTTAACAGCTTTAACTGCTTCCAGTGTAATGACTTGGAATGTACTTTATATTACTTTTTCTCACAAAGGCAAATGAATAAATGAATCTGTTTTCTCCCTGCTGAAAATGTTCTCATATAAAGTCTCTGCCCTCTGTGGAAGCTGTCTTCACTCAGCTGCCATCCCCAATACCACCATGGTACAGATCAATAGGAGCAGCTGAGTGAGGAGGATCACCCTGAAAACACATACACAACAATCCTCTCCCATCTCCACTCCCATAACTTGGTTGCCCTCCTGTCATCTCCAATCTTGGTTGCTCTGCCCCCAAGCCATGTAGTGCTTGGCAGATAGGCAGGCAGGGAATTTTGCTGAGCAAGAAAAAAAAACTCTTTATTTTGACATCCAGAGGGTCTTCCAAAGATCTCAGAAGATGATGCCATAGTTATACACTGGCCTTTGGAACATAT